CAGAACAAACAGAACCAGGAGAATCACTGCAGGAGCGTCTGGATAGAACTCCAGCAGAACCAACGCAGAGCTGACGGTACCAACACTGTTCCTGCCTCCTTCACTTTGGTGTTTCCGTCAACAGGAAACAAAAAACAAAAAACAAAAACAGAGACACAAACTGTCAGAAAACTACCGCAAAGAGACGCAAAGAGATACAAAAAGACCCGAAATCGCTGAGAACGCACCGACAACAAACACAAACCTGCTCAGAAGATTTAAACAAAAATACTCAACGGCGACAACTACGAGGAACAAACCATGAAGTTCTGAAAAAGAGAGAAAAAGGCACAAAACAAATGCAGCACAAAGTCTTAGTCTCAAAATAGACGCACAAAACGACCACAACGAGACTGAAAACACCATAAAGCGATGTTGAACCACAGCAACGAAACTATCAGACACAGAAACTACTGCAGAGAGCAAAAGACCAGAAAATAATGCAAACAACCTGAATACACACAGAAAAAGATGCAACAACAAACATTTACAAACTCAAGACATTAACAAAAAAATACACAAAATGAAAACAGACACACAAACAACACAAAAGAGAGAAAAAAAGGACAAATATGTGAAATAAAATAAACCCACAACCATCAGAAAAGTGACACCAGACAACAAAACGGAGACACAAAGTGACGCTAAACAACAACTACAGCAGTGTAAACGGACACCAGGCGAGGAGAAGACGAGAACCAACAAAAAACCGACGTAATGTTAACACAAAGAGACACAAAGGAGGTGAAACTCACTAAAAAGAGACACAAACTGTCAGAAAACCACTGCAAAGAGACACAAAACAACCACTGAGACGCACAACCAGACCAGAAAATAAAGAAAATGAACATAAAACAGATAAAATAAAGGTAAAGTGATGCTACAAGACAGAAACCAGACAAAAAAAATCCAGGAAGTAGAAAAAAACAGCTAAATTAGCTTGATGTTATCTGATGGTCAGATGTGATTGGTTGCTGTTTAATCATCCTGAGGCTGATTCATTAAATGTTCTCTGTGACAGAAGCTTTTTAGAGGAAATAAAACGTTTGTGACTCAGAAAGAAGAAGACTGGTTGTTGTGTTTGTGCAGCAGTAAACACGAAGCGTTTCCTCGGCAGCAGCTCTTCAGGTTTCCAGTTCTCTGCCTCGGCTCAGGTATTTTCCATTTCCCCTCTAAACCCAGGTATTAGTCTAATCCCTCCGCGGCGTCCTAATAAGTGATGAATCCGGCCTGAACCTGGCGCTCTGGCTGATCCCTGCAGCAAACGCAACACACAAAAAGAGACACACAACACCTCCTAAACTCAGGAATTACACCCCCCCTCAGGGGCTTTACAACCAGGAATTAGACCAATCCAATCCTGCAGGTTTAACGGGCTGACAGTTTACGGATCAATACGCCCCGTCGGCTGCAGTCACATGACCTGCACGGCTGACAGATGTTATAAAGAGTTCAGATGAATGACGAGTTAAAGCACGACGACCGCGTATTATGGGATGTCTGACACCTGGTGACGTGGTGGTGACAGGTGGCAGCATCATGATCTAAAGCACGGTGGTGGCAGCATCATGATCTAAAGCACGGCGGTGGCACCATCACTACATGAAGCACGGCGGTGGCAGCATCGTGATGTGGGGACACTTCAGCTTCAGGTAGTAGAGTTGGTTGTCCACTAATTGCATGATTGGCAGATTGATCCCTGTCCTGAAATTTTAGATTTGATGTCCCAGTAGTTCAGACTTTATACTTTCTGCATCCACAAGAACAACGATGTTTGAGCTACACAAAAGAAAAAAGTCAACAGTTTGCATCAATCTTTTGAGTTGTGACAGGTTCTTATGAAATGATGTCCAACCAATGAACCATGAGAAGGTGTTTTAATTACCACTGACTGTATGACTGCTGTTATTATCGCCACAAGATTTTAGGTGGATTAGTCACAAAACTTAACCTTAAGACATTTTAATTAAGTTATCATGAATTTAGCTTTAAATCAGCTACTGTAGAAATTTGAGTTTAAATGACGTAATATTAAGTTGCTGCAACATTGTGTCAACTGTCTAAGGTTGATATAAATCATTAAATTAGATCTGCTATCTTGTAGCTGTACATTTATTTAAAGAACAGATTCAGAGCAGAGTAGATCTGATTCTGTTTCTGTCGTGGATTCAGTGTTCTAGACGCTCCAGCAGCTGCAGACCAGAGGAGACGAAGCTCGGCTGCAGCTCCAGACACCAGACCGGCCGAGACGTTGGTCCGTTCAGTCACAAACTCTGATGCAGAGTTTTCAGCTCACTGTGGGAACAAACGTCAGCCGACTGTTTCCAAACACGCTGACCTCCTGCAGGGAAAATCACGGATCTGTTTCGTCCTCTTTAACACTCTAATCCCTTTAAATCAGGACGCTTCAAAGCTGCTCACAGTTTAGTTTGTGTTAGCGAGAGGAGGCGCCGACTCACATCAGCGTCCGCAGGCCGAGGCACAACCGTTAATGTTCTACAGAACCTGGAAACAGAACCGGGCCACCAGAACACTGCAGCTCCAATGAGAAGCTCCTCTTTTTAAGTCACTTTAGACTAGTGTTCAGCCGTTCTGGACGGTTTTTGTATTATTTTGCACAAATCGTAAGTTGGTTTGGAGATTTGCTTTGCTGTCTGACTGCACCGACAGGTCTCAAGTCACAAACTGTGTCATTCTGGACAGATTTTGCATCATTTTGGAAACGTTTTGAGTCAATTTCTGCAGTTTTTGAGTTAATTCTTAAGTCTGTTTGTAGAAGTTTCAAGTCATTTTAGACTTATTTTAATCAAAAATGTTGTAATTTTAGACAG